GGAGCGATTTCTTCAAGTGGCTTCATCCTCTGCAAATTGAGGAGATTGTCTAGCGTGAGATATTGGGATTCTTGGAGCGTCATGAAGGTGGACGCGTTCATGCCTGTTTGGAAAAGTAGGTTGTGTGGATACAGAGGGGAGGGGAGGGGTAATAGACTTGGTAGCGATTTTGTTTGTTGCCATATTTTTAAGGTCAGTATGATTGTTGGAAGAAGTGGGGTTGTTGAAGAAGCGTTTTGCCTTTATAGCGGCACTTGAAAACCGAGAGACTCAAGTTGTACCCAATGTTTCTGATTGTGTGGTTTTGCCAATTCGTTTATCCAGACTCAAGTTTTACCTAATGTTTCTAAATGTGTGGTGTTGCCAATTCGAATATCCTTGTGATGTGCTGGTGTTTCAGGTTAGGCAGGCCTAAACCGCCTTGTGTTTTGTGCATTACCAGAAGTTTGTATGGCAGTCTGGGGTGTTTGAGAGCGCAAAGGAACATACTGAATGTGTGTTTCAGTGTTGTGAAGAATATTTTGGGCAATGCTATGGGAAGAGCTTGTAATAAGTATAACAGTTTAGGAAGGGTAATCATTTTAAGTATATGTATGCGACTGGGCCATCCAAATAGAGGTTTGTTCCACCTAGTTAGATCACTCAAGAGTGTTTTTATCAGGGGTGGGAAATTCAGACCTTAGATATTTTACTGCCGTGTTTGCCCAAGGAAACTGGAATTTGGTTTGTAAGGATGTTTTGGTTGGAGGTCTATATTGAGTGGGAGTATTTTGCTCTTTGCGAAATTGACTTTGAAGTTCAAGATACTATTAAATAGGGTGATTTCTCTCACCAGGGCTGGCATGGAGGTCGTGGGGTTGGCTATCGAGAAGAGAATTGGCAAACGCTGCTACGTTGAACTCATAGTTGTCCATCTTCAGACCCTGTATGTCTTGATTGTCTCTGATACCCTGTAGGAAGGGCTCCATTATAATTATAAAGAGGAGCGGTGGCTCCACTGTTTGGTGCCACTCCTTATGGTGAGTCCAATAGTTGACCATAAATTTAGATTTTTGAACTAGGGTTGGAGTAAAGTGCTCCCATCCAATGTAACCAGGACAGGCCAAATTTAGATGGCTCTAAGGGTTTCTAGGATAAGGGACTAGTCCACCCTGTCAAAGTCTTTTTCTGCATCAATGGATAGTAGTAAGCTTTGTGTGTGAAAAATTTATGAGGCTCAGTAGTTTGGTAGTATTGATCTCCCTTAACGGCCCGCTGGCACCTAGTTCCAGTAGAGGAAGGGAAGGGACTGGGAGGCTCTTTGTTCCTTCAGCAAGCAGGGTGGTAGGAGCGTTTCCGCTCATTACCATGGCAACACTCACGTGCTGTGCTGCCAAGAGGCAGGAGAGTCAGTCTGCAGGCTAAAGTGAACATGCCACCACTGGACCACTGGGGTTGCTGCATTATTTACCCCTCCCTGGTAAAAGGTAAGAAGATTAAGATAGATTTTCACATCTCACCCACCTACACACAGCATAGACCCTATGCACCCTTCACACACACAGACTGCCCCCTCACACACACTACACCCCTCACACACACACCACCCCATGACACAATTTGCACCTCTCACACACACTGCACCCTTAACACACAGCACCTCTCACACACACATAATCTTTAACACACACATCATCTCTAACACACACAGACAGGGCATCCCTCACACATACACTGCCCCCCACACATAAAGTGCACCCCTCACACACACAGACTGCCCCCTCACACACACACCACCCCATGACACAATCTGCACCTCTCACACACACTGCACCCTTAACACACAGCACCTCTCACACACACATAATCTTTAACACACATATCATCTCTAACACACACAGACAGGGCATCCCTCACACACACACTGCCCCCCACACATAAAGTGCACCCCTCACACACACTGCCCCCCACACGCACTCTGCACCTCAGACACACACACAATGCCCCCCTCACGCACACTGCCTACTCATACACACACAGCACCCATTACACACACTGCACCCCTCACACACACACTGCATCCTACACACATGCGCTACACCCTTCACACACAAACACACACACACCACCCTTCACACACACACATAGAAAAGAAGTAGAATAGAAAATAGAAAAAAAGAAAAAAATAGATACATTTAAGTACAGATTTCTTTTTTTTTTTTTAAAAACCCTTATTTCTAAAAAAAATTAATAATAATTAAAAAATCACACTTGCTCTATAAAATTAGTTACTGTGGCACTGGTGGGCACATGGGCCTCCGCAGGGGGGGAGGCAAGGGAGAGGGGGCATTTTCCTCCTTCCCCCCTGGATTTTTCAGTGTGCCGATATTTTTATTTTGAGATTCAGAATACACTGCAATACCAGTAGGTGGCGCGGTGTATGGAGAAAGGCAGGGATAGGAAGCTACATCCCTGCTTCTTTCTCCTGACTGAATCCGCAGGGAAGCAGCACAGAGTGCAGCCAGCAACTCCTATATTGCAGAGACAGCCAACAGATTAGGTAAGTGAGGTATGTGGGGCAACCTACAGATCAGATAAGTGAGGAACGGCGGGGGCAGCCTACAGAACAGGTAAGTGAGGCATGGGGGGCAGCCTACAGATCAGGTAACTGAGGGATGGGGGGGCAGCCTACAGATCAGGTAAGTGAGGCATGGGGGGACAGCCTACAGATCAGGTAACTGAGGGATGGGGGGGCAGCCTACAGATCAGGTAAGTGAGGCATAGTGGGGCAGCCTACAAATCAGGTAAGTGAGGCATGGGAGGGGCAGCCTACAGATCAGGCTTACAGCAAGGGTCAAAAAGGAGAAAGAGCAGAAATGAGAAGGAAGGGACATTAAAGGAACATTATAGGGTCAGGAACACAAACATGTATTCCTGACCCTATAGTGCAAAACCCACCATTCAGGTGACTTGCTCCCCCAACACCCTTAAAAGTTAATAAAACTCACCTTATTTTCAGCACCGCACGGGTCTGCCGGCACTGGTCCTGCCCCGCATTTTAATCAATGCATCTCTATGAGGAAAATTCAGTGTCCCCAGAGAGCGTGGAGACGATGAACAGCACTGCTGCCTACTGTGTAGCATCTGATGAGTGGCCACTTGGAGGTTTCCCTAGGGACAATGTAAACACTGCCTTTTCAGTGAAAATGCCTAAAGGAAATGATTATACTCACCAGAACAACTACATTAAGCTGGTGGTATAGTGTCCCTTTAAGGAGCAGAAAGGGTCTGCAAGGAGCACAAAGGTAAAGTAGGAGAAAGAGCACAAAGGAACAGAAAGTTTCATTAAGGAGCTGGAAGGGGTAGAGTAGGAGAAGGAGCAGAAAGTAACAGAAATGAGCAGGAATGGTCTGCAAGGGGCAGCAAGGAGCACAAGGGTAAAGGAGCTGAAAGAATCAGGAGCACAAAGGTAAAGTAGGAGAAGGAGCAGAAAGGAGAAGGAACAGAAATTAGCAAGAAGGGACATCAAGGAGCAGAAAGGGTCAGCATTGAGCTGGAAGAGGCAGAAGGAGCACAGAGGTAAAGTAAGAGAAGGAGAAGAAGAGAACAGAAATGAGCAGGAATGGTCAGCAAGGAGCAGAAAGGGGAAGCAAGAAACAGGAAGGGACATGAGGAGCACAGAGGTAAAAGAGCAGAAATAATCAGAAGGAGCACAGAGGTAACGTAGGAGAAGGAGCAGAAAGGGTCAGCAAGAAGCAGGAAGGCAAAAAGATAAGTCCTGCGCTCACTCCCATCACTACTGGGCGGCAGCAATGACTACAGTACACATCAGCCCCAATATATAGTAAAAACCAAAGAAAAACAAGTTACCTGTGCTCTATCCTTAATCCCTATGTATTTTTAAACCAATGGAGGTTTTTAGTTACGAGAGGGTAAGCCCACCTGCCAACTTCAAGGCAGACCCCCCTAGGTGGATCCTAACTAGACAGTGTCAGAATAAAAAGAAAATTGTGCCAAATTAGGAGAAGAAAAGAAGATTGGAGCAGGAAGAACAAGTAAAGTGATCACTCCACTACATTTTGAACACCACATCACAAGGCTTTGGTCCCTGGGCCTGGCAGGAAAAGTTTGGACCTTCTCATCTCCCCAGGTAAACAAATATTAGTGTTAAAGGGACACTATAGTCACCAGAACAACTACAGCTTATTGAATTTGTTCTGGTGAGTAGAATCATAACTTCAGGCTTTTTGCTGTAAACCATAGGCGTGCGCACGGGGTGTGCCGGGTGTGCCTGGGCACACCCTAATCCCCGTGGCACGCCCATGGTTTGAGTCCTGCAGGAACTTTTTTTGAGCAGGAACGCTGTTCCTGCAGACACTCAGCGCCCCCTGTCTCACCTCTTTCCCCTGTCATGGGGGGGGCAAGAGGTGATGGATCCCCCCCCCTCTGCAGCTCAGCCGCGGCGAGGGAGCTGTCTGCTCTCTGCTCCCTCTCACCGCGCGCTGATGCCGGGAGCCAGAATATGACGTCATATGCCGGCTCCCAGCTACTGTAGACAGCCCGCGCGGCGAGAGGGAGCAGAGAGCAGACAGCTCCCTCTCCGCGGCTGAGCTGCAGAGAGGCGCCCACCCCACTGGACCCCAGGGACCAGTCCACGCCAGCACTCCAGGTAGGAGGCTGGGTGGACATTTTTTAAAATTAAAATATAATAATTTGTTCTTGTGTGTGTGTGTGTCTGTGTGTGAGTGTGTGTGTGTGTGTGTGTGTGTGTGTCTGTATGTGTATGTGTGTGAGTGTGTGTGTGTGTCTGTGTGTGAATGTCTGTGTGTGAATGTGTGTGTGTGAGTGTCTGTGTGTGTGTGTCTGTGTGTGTCTGTGTGTGAGTGTGTGTCTGTGAGTGTGTGTCTGTGAGTGAGTGTGTGTGTGTGTGTGTGTAAGTGTGTGTGTGTCTGTGAATGTGTGTGTTTGTGAATGTGTGTGTGTGTGTCTGTGAGTGTATGTATGTGTGTGTGCGTGTGTCTGAATGTGTCTGTGAGTGTGTGTGTACGCATATATATATATATATATATATATATATATATATACACACACACACACACACACACACACACACACACACACACGCAGAGCCGGCGCTATCTGAGTGCCGGCTCTGCTCTAAGCCTCCATGGGCCGGCGGGGAGACCAAAGATCTACCTCACCGGCCCACAGCAGCATGGAGGGAGGCAGGAGAGGACCCAGGGAGCTCTAGACAGAAGCTCCGCCAGGTTCCTCTCGCGATATCTGAGCGTTGCTGCGGCACCCTTGGTCAGCTGGCACTCTAAGCCAATCAGTAGATCCTGACCCTATAGTGCTCCTTTAATGTGTTCACTTTTATTTACTGAGTGTCAGGAAGCATAGAGTGCAGCTTGTAAGGGTGCCGCAGATTGGTCAGCTGGCACTCTAAGCCAATCAGTAGATCCCCATTCATAAAAAAGTAAAACATTTTTATGAACCAGGAACTAGCGATTGGCTTAGAGCCTCGGCTGACCACTCTAGCCAATCAGCGGCACCAATGCCTGACGTCAATCTGCACTTCCTGACACTCCATTTCAGAATCCGAATACCACTGAGCAACCTGGAGATCTGGAGCAGGAGGAAGCCTTTGGGTTTAAGCCATGTGAAAGCGGTTTAACCCCTTAAAGGAAAGAGAGCGCCTCCTGGCATCATAGCATTTTTATTTAGATGAAGTTGTTATGGTAACCAGGGGCTTACACATTCTTGTTACATGTATTCCTGAGACCATAGTTGTGAAAACGCTATTTACGTATCCTGCCCCAACCCAATGGGTGTCCTGGTTTTTTATTTCCTAAATCTGGTCACCCTGGCTTTATGTGATAATGACTATGCCCCTCCCCTTCATGATACTGCCAAAAAGGGGCCAAGCATGGATGTCATTACAATTATGTCTCCCCCTGGGAAAAAATCCTGCAGACGCCCATGAGTGGGCAGTAAGGAAATTTTACTATCAACAAAGATGTAAAAGTGGGCGGTAGCGATTAAAAGGTTGACTACCCCTGAGCTAAACAGACAGCATAGCTGAATTCTCACTTTAGAGAATAACCCTGTCGCTGTACAATCCCTTAAATGCCTTTGGAATAAACATGCTATTATAGCCTAATCGTAATTTTCCCTGACTTTCTTTCTCAGCAATTATCTATCTCTAACTGGATGATTCCCAAAAGTGTCAGTGCTGGTGTTCTAAAAATCGTGAGCTGATCATCTTTCTAGTATTAAGTGAAAAGTAAATGCCCCACTCAAGCAGGTGATTCAGCAACGTTCATTGTGTCGAATCAGTGAGAGTTCTACTCCATGTTTGTAAGTGCAAAATAATACATTTTATACTTGTTTTATACAATATCTATCTAATGTACCCCAGGAGGGCGATGAGCCTGAAATTTCTAATTGTGTGTGATTGCTTAACTTAAACTCATCTGGGTGCTCACACACTTGCATACTGTATCACGCTATGTGCTATTTGTAATTCCTGTCTCTAGATGCGTATGCACTTTACTGGATATATACCTGCACTGTGTCTTTCGTAGTTTTATTTTAATTAGTCCATGTCACAAACACACCCTACTCCAAGAGTGTGTGTGACGTAGTTGTTGTGGTGAAAGGGTTAAAGTTCACTATTTGTCTGCACTAGACCGGAAATAATGACAAAATCCCCCTTTTAAAACCACCCACACTTAAACATAATAATACAACTATTACTATTTTAACGCTGCCACCACCAAGACAATTTATAAATGGGGTGCCTTGGTCCCCCAGGTAAATCAATAATAAAACCCACCAAATATTACTTAGTACAATATTTAAGTTATTGCAAAAATACTAACTAGTCTCTTCAGTAACGTGATTCTTAACCAGACAAAGGCAAAACTTAATAAATGAATGTTTATTATGAGCAAAAGATAGTCACAGTGCATATAACAATATATGATATACAAATTATTTACACCAACAACAGATAAAAACAAAAAGGATAAAATACAGAAGTCCTAATTACTCACTTAGGTTTTCAAAGTACAACTTCTGTCCAGGGGGGTCTCTGGCAAGGAAAGATGGTGACTCACTCAAAATTAGATCTTGGCCCCAAGCAAGTACACCAACACCCTTCAGAATTACAGGAGATATACCCTGTGAATTGCCACACCTCATCCAGGGGTGGAGCAATAGGGATACTAGGTGACCACCTCCTTTGTTCCAGAAACCAACAACCCACATACAAACTTTTGGTTTTATCTCCTTTACTGTACTTGCCACAGAAATAATAATTGCCTCTATGAATTTGTTATTGTTTTCCCATTCCAAAGACATGTTGCACACCCCGCCCACGATCCAATTGGATGGACATCACAAGTCCTGCCACACGGTTTAAGTTGTGCAACTCATGTTTGGGCTTAATTAAAAGATTGGGCTTGTCCCATTCCAAATATAATAAAAATGAGGCTTAATTATTAACCTGTGGGTAAGTATGAATGTTTCACTTGGATAAGATACTGGAACACAAGGATGTTCGTGAAACGAATCCCATTACCATTTCAAATGATTGAACTATCCTTTACAAGGTACATGCCAAATGGATGAAGAGACATTCAGACTTTTCCCAAGTGTAGAACCTCACACCTTGCAGACTTCACATCCATATAGTAAAATCCTTTTCACATTGCTATGCCATTCACACTACCCCTTCTGTCATCTGACCTCTGTGGGGATCCCAGCTTCAAAAGATGTAACCCCTGTTGACCTCAGCAATAGCATCTCTGTAATTTGTGCCATTTACTACACAAATTACATTAAAAGATGATATTCCATAGTGTAATAATAAATTATACACCCTTGTCGTGACAGTCCATCCTTGCAAGCTCGTTGTCTTGGTGTTATCTTTGATCCTGGCCTCACCTGTGCCGCACATTTCCAGTATGTTGCTAAAACATGTCGATTCCACCTTAAAAATATTGTCCGCATCCACCCCTTTCTCACCTAAGATGCTGCTGGTAATCTCTCGCATGGATTACTGTAATTCTCTCCTAGTTGGTCTCCCAAAAGCTGAAGTGCCCCTCTACAATTGGTAATGAATGCTGCTGCCAGGCTGAAATATCCCCCCCCTTTCATAATATTGTAAAGCGCTGCGGAATTAGCTGACGCTATATAAATACCAATAATAATAATATAATTCTCAAATATTTTCTTTGTTTTACAGTGAGAGTGTCTGTTTGTGTGTCAAATTAGTGAGTGAGTGTGTGTCTGCCTGTCAGTGAATGTGTGACTGTCAGTGAGTGACAAATCATTGAGTGTGTCGCTCAGTGTGTCAAGTCAATAAGTGTGTCTGTCAGTGAATGTGTGTCTGTCAGTTAGCGTGTCCTCTGTGTGCAAGTGTGCGTGTCAGTTTCCTCTGTTTGTAAATGTCTTTGTGTGTGTGTGTCCTCTGTGTGAAAGTGTGTGTGTGTCAGTGTCCTTTGAGTGTAACTGTGTGTGTGTCTTGTCAGTGTGTCTGTCAGTCAGTGAGTAAGTCCTCTGTGTCTAAGTGTGTGTGTGTGTGTGTGTCAGTTTCCTCTGTGTGTAACCTGTATATTATACGTTCATTTTGTGAATATCGTGCAAAAGTTCATTTATTTCAGTAATGCAACGTAAAAAGGGAAACTAATATATGAGATAGACGCATTACGTGCAGAGCAAGATAGTTCAAGCTGTTATTTGTCATAAGTGCGATGATAATGGCTTACAGCTCATGAAAACCCCAAATCCACAATCTCAGTAAAATAGAATATTGTGAAAAGGTGCAATAGTCTAGGCTCACAGTGTCCCACTCTAATCAGCTAAGTAAGCCATAACACCTGCAAAGGGTTTCTGAGCCTTTAAATAGTCTCTCAGTCTGGTTCAGTAGGAATCACAATCATGGGGAAGACTGCTGACCTGACAGTTGTGCAGAAAACCATCATTGACACCCTCCATAAGGAGGGACAGCCTCAAAAGGTAATTGCAAAGGAAGTTGGATGTTTCCAAAGTGCTGTATCAAAGCACATTAATAGAAAGTTATGTGGAAGGGAAAAGTTTGGAAGAAAAAGATGCACAAGCAGCAGGGATGGCCGCAGCCTGGAGAGGATTGTCAGGAAAAGGCCATTCAAAAGTGTTGGGGACTTTCACAAAGAGTGGACTGAAGCTGGAGTCAGTGCATCAAGAGCCACAAACGGATCCTGGACATGGGCTTCAGATGTCGTATTCCTCTTGTCAAGTCACTCCTGAACAACAAACAATGTCAGAAGCGTCTTACCTGGGCTAAAGAAAAACATACCTGGTCTGTTGCTCAGTGGTCCAAAGTCCTCTTTTCTGATGAGAGCAACTTTTGCATCTCATTTGGAAACCAGGACCCATAGTCTGGAGGAAGAATGGAGAGGCACACACTGCAAGATGCTTGAAGTCCAGTGTGAAGTTTCCACAGTCTGTGTTGATTTGGGGAGCCATGTCATCTGCTGGTGTTGGTCCACTGTGCTTCATTAAGTCCAGGGTCAACGCAGCCATCTACCAGGAGATTTTGGAGCACTTCATGCTTCCTGCCGCAGACGAGCTTTATGGGGATGCTGACTTCATTTTCCAGCAGCACCTGCCCACACTGCCAAAAGCACCAAAGCCTGGTTCAATGACCATGGGATTACTGTGCTTGATTGGCCAGCAAACTCGCCTGACCTGAACCCCATAGAGAATCTATGGGGCATTGCCAAGAGAAAGATGAGAGATATGAGACCGAACAATGCAGTAGAGCTGAAAGCCGCTATTGAAGCACCCTGGTCTTCCATAACACCTCAGCAGTGCCACCGGCTTGTAGCTTCCATGCCACGCCGCATTGAGGCAGTAATTACTGCAAAAGGGGCCCAAACCAAGTGAGGTCCAATATTGTTCTATGTACACTCCTTGTTGTATTGCTTGCATGTAATATTCTAATTTACTGAGATTGTGGATTTGGGGTTTTCATGAGCTGTAAGCCATAATCATCGCACTTATGACAAATCACAGCTTGAAAATAATTGAGAATTATATTATTATTATTGGTATTTATATAGTGCCAGCTAAT